TATGGTAGATGTGTGTGAGACACTGTTGTATGGTAGTTGTGTGAGACACACTGTGGTATGGTAGAGGTGTGAGACACACTGTTGTATGGTAGATGTGTGTGAGACACTGCTGTATGGTAGATGTGTGTGAGACACTGTTGTATGGGAGATGTGTGTGAGACACTGTTGTATGGTAGATGTGTGAGAGACACTGTTGTATGGTAGATGTGTGTGAGACACTGCTGTATGGTAGATGTGTGTGAGACACTGTTGTATGGTAGATGTGTGTGACACATTGTTGTATGGTAGAGGTGTGTGACACACTGTGGTATGGTAGAGGTGTGTGACACACTGTGGTATGGTAGATGTGTGAGACACTCTGTTGTATGGTAGAGGTGTGAGACACACTGTTGTATGGCAGAGGTGTGTGACACACTGTTGTATGGTAGATGTGTGGGACACACTGTTGTATGGTAGAGGTGTGAGACACCCTGTTGTATGGTAGATGTGTGTGACACCCTGTTGTATGGTAGATGTGTGTGACACCCTGTTGTATGGTAGATGTGTGTGACACACTGTTGTATGGTAGATGTGTGTGACACCCTGTTGTATGGTAGAGGTGTGAGACAATGTTGTATGGTAGAGTTGTGAGACATCCTGTTGTATGGTAGATGTGTGGGACACTGTTGTATGGGAGATGTGTGTGACACACTGTGGTATGGTAGATGTGTGAGACACTCTGTTGTATGGTAGAGGTGTGAGACACACTGCTGTATGGTAGATGTGTGAGACACTGTTGTATGGTAGAGGTGTGTGACACTGTTGTATGGTAGAAGTGTGTGAGACACACTGCTGTATGGTAGATGTGTGAGACACTGTTGTATGGTAGTGGTGTGAGACACATTGTTGTATGGTAGATGTGTGAGACACATTGTTGTATGGGAGAGGTGGGAGATACTGTTGTATGGGAGAGGTGTGAGACACATTGTTGTATGGTAGATGTGTGAGACACACTGTTGTATGGTAGAGGTGTGAGACACCCTGTTGTATGGTAGAGGGGTGAGACACACTGTTGTATGGTAGATGTGTGTGACACCCTGTTGTATGGTAGATGTGTGATACACCCTGTTGTATGGTAGATGTGTGAGACACTGTTGTATGGTAGAGGTGTGTGACACTGTTGTATGGTAGAAGTGTGTGAGACACACTGCTGTATGGTAGATGTGTGAGACACTGTTGTATGGTAGAGGTGTGTGACACTGTATGGTAGATGTGTGTGACACATTGTTGTATGGTAGAGGGGTGTGACACACTGTGGTATGGTAGATGTGTGAGACACCCTGTTGTATGGTAGATGTGTGAGACACCCTGTTGTATGGTACAGGTGTGAGACACACTGTTGTATGGTAGATGTGTGAGACACTGTTGTATGGTAGAGGTGTGTGACACTGTTGTATGGTAGAAGTGTGTGAGACACACTGCTGTATGGTAGATGTGTGAGACACTGTTGTATGGTAGAGGTGTGTGACACTGTATGGTAGATGTGTGTGACACATTGTTGTATGGTAGAGGGGTGTGACACACTGTGGTATGGTAGATGTGTGAGACACCCTGTTGTATGGGAGAGGTGTGAGACACCCTGTTGTATGGTAGATGTGTGTGACACACTGTTGTATGGTAGATGTGTGTGACACCCTGTTGTATGGTAGATGTGTGTGACACACTGTTGTATGGGAGAGGTGTGAGACACACTGTTGTATGGTAGAGGTGTGAGACACATTGTTGTATGGTAGATGTGTGAGACAAACTGTTGTATGGTAGAGGTGTGAGACACATTGTTGTATGGTAGAGGTGTGAGACACACTGTTGTATGGTAGATGTGGGAGACACCCAGTTGTATGGTAGAGGTGTGAGACAATGTTGTATGGTAGAGTTGTGAGACATCCTGTTGTATGGTAGATGTGTGAGACACTGTTGTATGGTAGATGTGTGTGACACACTGTGGTATGGTAGATGTGTGAGACACACTGTTGTATGGTAGAGTTGTGAGACACACTGCTGTATGGTAGATGTGTGAGACACACTGTTGTATGGTAGATGTGTGAGACACTGTTGTATGGTAGAGGTGTGAGACACCCTGTTGTATGGTAGAGGTGTGAGACACACTGTTGTATGGTAGAGTTGTGAGACACACTGCTGTATGGTAGATGTGTGAGACACACTGTTGTATGGTAGAGATGTGAGACACACTGCTGTATGGTAGATGTGTGAGACCCACTGTTGTATGGTAGATGTGTGAGACATCCTGTTGTATGTTAGATGTGTGTGGCACACTGTTGTATGGTAGAGGTGTGAGACACACTTGTATGGGAGAGGTGTGTGACACACTGTGGTATGGTAGAGGTGTGAGACACCCTGTTGTATGGTAGAGGTGTGAGACACCCTGTTGTATGGTAGAGGTGTGAGACACTGTTGTATGGTAGAGGTGTGAGACACACTTGTATGGTAGAGGTGTGTGACACACTGTGGTATGGTAGAGTTGTGAGACACACTGTGGTATGGTAGATGTGTGTGACACACTGTTGTATGGTAGAGGTGTGTGACACACTGTGGTATGATAGAGGTGTGTGCCACACTGTGGTATGGTAGATGTGTGTGACACACTGTTTTATGGTAGAGGTGTGTGACACACTGGTATGGTAGATGTGTGAAACACACTGTTGTATGGTAGAGGTGTGTGACACACTGTTGTATGGTTGAGGTGTGTGACACACTGTTGTATGGTAGATGTGTGTGAGACACTGTTGTATGGTAGATGTGTGTGAGACACTGTTGTATGGTAGATGTGTGAGACACCCTGTTGTATGGTAGAGGTGTGAGACACCCTGTTGTATGGTAGAGGTGTGAGACACCCTGTTGTATGGTAGAGGTGTGAGACACCCTGTTGTATGGTAGAAGTGTGAGACACTGTTGTATGATAGAGGTGTGTGACACACTGTGGTATGGTAGATGTGTGTGACACACTGTGGTATGGTAGAGGTGTGAGACACACTGTTGTATGGTAGAGGTGTGAGACACACTGTTGTATGGTAGATGTGTGTGACACACTGTTGTATGGTAGAGGTGTGTGACACACTGTTGTATGGTAGAGGTGTGTGACACACTGTTGTATGGTAGATGTGTGTGACACACTGTTGTATGGTAGAGGTGTGTGACACACTGTTGTATGGTAGAGGTGTGTGACACACTGTTGTATGGTAGAGGTGTGTGACACACTGTTGTATGGTAGAGGTGTGTGACACACTGTTGTATGGTAGAGGTGTGTGACACACTGTTGTATGGTAGAGGTGTGTGACACACTGTTGTATGGTAGAGGTGTGTGACACACTGTTGTATGGTAGATGTGTGTGACACACTGTTGTATGGTAGAGGTGTGTGACACACTGTTGTATGGTAGAGGTGTGTGACACACTGTTGTATGGTAGATGTGTGTGACACACTGTTGTATGGTAGAGGTGTGTGACACACTGTTGTATGGTAGAGGTGTGTGACACACTGTTGTATGGTAGAGGTGTGTGACACACTGTTGTATGGTAGAGGTGTGTGACACACTGTTGTATGGTAGAGGTGTGTGACACACTGTTGTATGGTAGAGGTGTGTGACACACTGTTGTATGGTAGAGGTGTGTGACACACTGTTGTATGGTAGAGGTGTGTGACACACTGTTGTATGGTAGAGGTGTGTGACACACTGTTGTATGGTAGAGGTGTGTGACACACTGTTGTATGGTAGATGTGTGTGACACACTGTTGTATGGTAGAGGTGTGTGACACACTGTTGTATGGTAGAGGTGTGTGACACACTGTTGTATGGTAGATGTGTGTGACACACTGTTGTATGGTAGAGGTGTGTGACACACTGTTGTATGGTAGAGGTGTGTGAGACACTGTTGTATGGTAGATGTGTGTGACACACTGTTGTATGGTAGATGTGTGAGACACCCTGTTGTATGGTAGATGTGTGAGACACCCTGTTGTATGGTAGAGGTGTGAGACACCCTGTTGTATGGTAGATGTGGGAGACACCCTGTTGTATGGTAGAGGTGTGAGACACACTGTTGTATGGTAGAGGTGTGTGACACACTGTTGTATGGTAGATGTGTGAGACACCCTGTTGTATGGTAGAGGTGTGAGACACCCTGTTGTATGGTAGATGTGGGAGACACCCTGTTGTATGGTAGAGGTGTGAGACACACTGTTGTATGGTAGAGGTGTGTGACACACTGTGGTATGGTAGATGTGTGAGACACCCTGTTGTATGGTAGAGGTGTGAGACACCCTGTTGTATGGTAGATGTGGGAGACACACTGTTGTATGGTAGAGGTGTGAGACACCCTGTTGTATGGTAGAGGTGTGTGACACCCTGTTGTATGGTAGATGTGTGAGACACCCTGTTGTATGGTAGAGGTGTGAGACACTGTTGTATGGTAGATGTGTGTGACACATTGTTGTATGGTAGAGGTGTGAGATACTGTTGTATGGTAGAGGTGTGAGACACCCTGTTGTATGGTAGAGGTGTGTGACATACTCTGGTATGGTAGAGGTGTGTGACACACTGTGGTATGGTAGATGTGTGAGACACCCTGTTGTATCGTAGAGGTGAGCAATGCAGGCTCATTGGGCCTCTTGTAATAACTTTAGGTTCGATATATCCTTACATATCTAAATTATGATATTTTAATTGGGATCTTTAAAATATGACTTGCGATTGCCTTTTGTCCGCCGTCGTCCGTATGCTGTATGCTAGATATTGAATAAATTGGTTTTATTGCTTTTTGTCACTTTGAATAATATTTCTGTTTATGTTAAAAACAAAATCAACTCTCTGTATAAATATACCAGGTGACCGTTAAGGCCCAGGGGCCTCTTGTTTGGGTTACTATGCCAACCTTGTTAAATCTTAATATTTGAAATACAAAATATTGACTTTTCTGAGTATGCACAATTTCTTAAATTTTCAGATTTAGAAGATGATATTACTGAAGACTACGAAGGTAATAACTTCAACATATTCTTTGTATATGTAATAAGTTTGTCAAAACAATAAATTTAACTTGTATACATATTGCATGGTGTGTATTGTATTTAAGTGTGTTTTATGTAGTGTGTATTGTGTCTTAATTTGTTTTTAGCCCACCATCATCTGATGGTGGGCTATTCAAATCACCCTGTGTCCCTGGTCCGTCGTCCGTCGTCCGTCCTTAAACAATTCTTGTTATCGGTATTTCTCAAGAAGTACCAGAGGGATGTTTCTCAAATTTTATATGTAGGGTCCCCTTGGTCCTTAGCTGTGCAGGGCAACTTTTGAGACTGATCGGATAACAACATGGCCGACAGGCAGCCATATTGGATTTTGACAGTGAAAGTTTATCGGTATTTCTCATGAAGTACCAGAGGGATCTTTCTCAAATTTTATATGTCGGTTCCCCTTGGTCCTTAGCTGTGCAGGGCAACTTTTGAGACTGTTCGGATAACAAGATGGCCGACAGGCAGCCATCTTGGATTTTGATAGTGAAAGTTTGTTATCGGTATTTCTCACGAAGTACCTGAGGGATCTTTCTCAAATTTTGTATGTAGGTTCCCTTGATCCCTAGCTGTGCAAGGCAACTTTTGAGACTGATAGGATAAACAACATGGCCAACAGGCAGCCATCTTGGATTTTGATAGTGAAAGTTAGTTATCGGTATTTCTCACGAAGTACCTGAGGGATCTTTCTCAAATTTTATATGTAGGTTCCCCTTGGTCCCTAGCTGTGCAGGCGATTTTTGAGACTGATCGGATAAACAACATGGCCGACATCTTTGATTATCGCTATTTCTTGGGAGGTACGGGAGGGATCTTTTTCAAATTTTATATGTAGGTTCCCCTTGTTCCCTTGTTGTGCAGCAGTGCCTAAAATGGACGGTCTCTTGCTTGCCAATGGCGATTAAAGTCTTGCTCGGGCGACCAAAAGTTGTCAAAAGTGAAGTAGTCACTGCCCCAACAAAAATAGTTTAGGCTGTTGAAAAAATTATGAATAAAAGAAATTATAGTCCCTTCCACATTAACTGGGGGGCAGTACATTTTTCAGTTGTCATTACTTTGATTTGAAAAATGTGATGATTTTTTTTTTTAGATTTTCTATATAAATACATATTGTACTGCCAGGGTGTCTTCTTTGAGGTGCGAGTTTTGTGTATTTCCTTTTTGGAAGACCTGAATGGAGTGGATCATGTCAGGTTTTAACTAGGATTGAAGAATTAAAAATATAATGTTTTATTCTGTTTTACATATAACAAACATTGTCATGTTAAATGTAATTTAAATGTACTGAACATTGTGTTAAATGCTGTGGAAATATTTCTTGCCAAAATTATTTGGGCCACCAAATATGTCATTTGGGCCAGTGCTTCAAGTTCTTTACTCGCCCTAAAATTTGTTTTTGGGCAAGCCAATGCAGGTTCCCCACTATCCTTTATTGTTCATGTTTACTTTTGAAACTGATCAGTTAAACAAAATGGCCTTCCGACAGCCATCTTCGATTTTTGACATTGAAGGTGTGTTAGTACTATTTCTCAGGAATAACTTGAGGGATCTTTTTCAAATTTGATATGTAGGTTCCCCTTGATCCCTCTTTGTGCATGTTATATTTTAAGACTGATAATAAAAACAAAATGGCTAAAGGAAGAAATAAACAGATCTTTCTCATATTGCAATGATCAATTCTATTTCTTTCACATTAAGTACTGTACTAGTAAATATGTGAAATGACAAACTCACTTTGAAGGTTGGCTTTCATACACATCAGTATTAAGTTTAGATCAAAAGTTACCTCAAGGTGTAGTGTGTATTGTGTTTAAGTGTGTTGTATGGTAGATATTTGGGAGGGTTTCGGCTACGTTGTGGAAAAGCTTACCATCTACTATTAGAAAGTCAAATACCCTGGCCAAGTTCAAGAGGGACATCAAAACTCACCTCTTCACGTCTGCATTTTAGAATCTTTTCAAAGACGTTATGTAGATACCACCCTTTTATTTGTTCAATTATGTGCACATTGCTTGTTAAATGTATGAAAGTGATTGTAATCCTTTGTTTTTTGTTTTCACAATTATAACCATTACTATTATCCATATGTTGTAAAGCGCTTTAGAGTAATTTTACAAATTATATAGGGCACTATATAAATGTTGTACATTATTATTATTATTATTATTATGTAATGTGTGTTTTTTGTAGTGCGTATTGTGTTTAAATGTGTTTCATGTAGTGTGTATTGTATTTCAGTGTGTTTTATGTAGTGTGATTTGTGTTTTAGTGTGTTTTATGTAGTGTGTATTGTGTTTTAGTGTGTTTTATGTAGTGTGTATTGTATTTCAGTGTGTTTTATGTAATGTGTATTGTGTTTTAGTGTGTTTTATATAGTGTGTATTGTGTTTTATGTAGTGTGTATTGTGTTTTAGTGTGTTTTATGTAGTGTGTATTGTATTTCAGTGTGTTTTATGTAATGTGTATTGTGTTTTATGTAGTGTGTATTGTGTTCTAGTGTGTTTTCGTGTGTTTTATGTTGTGTGTATTGTGTTTTAGTGTGTTTTCGTGTGTTTTATGTAATGTGTATTGTGTTTTAGTGTTTTATGTAATGTGTATTGTGTTTTAGTGTGTTTTCGTGTGTTTTATGTAATGTGTATTGTGTTTTAGTCTGTTTTATGTAATGTGTATTGTGTTTTAGAGTGTTTTATGTAATGTGTGTTTTATGTAGTGTTTTATGGACTTTCGTTGAGGTGATTAATTGGTTATATGAACCTGAGAAGTGATATTGACCAAGACAAAATTGAGGTCAATATCACTTTTTCAGGTCAATATAACTACATATTCACTCAAATAAAAGTCCTAAATTGTTGTATTAGATGCAAAATAATGTATAAATTATTACAAATGAAAAGACCTGTAAAAGTTGTTTGGAAGAGAATATTGCATGTGGTAGAGGGCATTGCTACGTAACAATTGAATGATGTCATCAAGTGAATATTGATTTGCTGTTTCTAAAAAATTGTAAGACAGAGTCAATTTCACAAATCACCGACCTCCATGTGATTATGATCCAACCAATAAGAATGTAGGGAAAATGTGCATCGTCTAATGTATAAAAAGGATCACTAAGTCATTTATGAAATCCATAAGATTGCATTGTATAACATATCTGTTTATGACATTGTATGATTACAGTTAAGGTGCAGAATCAGACAGGGAAGACGGAATTAGTGTTACACAAACAGACAACAGGGCAGCAGTGGCGAGGGGTCGGAAAGTTTCTGGATAGACATGACGCCTTCACACCTACAAATGACAAAGGTATACACACCTACAAACAACAAACATATACACACCTTCAAACAACAAACATATACAAACCTACAAACAACAAAGGTATATACACCTAAAAACAACAAATGTATACAAACACTTATAGTATACACACCAACAAATGACCAAGGTATACACACCTACAACAACAAACATATACACACCTACAAACAACAAAGGTATACACACCAACAAATGACAAAGGTATACACACCTACAAACAACAAACATATACATGCCTACAAACAACAAACATATACACACCTACAAACAACAAAGGTATACACACCTACAAACAACAAACATATACACACCTTCAAACAACAAACATATACAAACCTACAAACAACAAACATATACGCACCGACAAACAACAAAGGTATACACACCAACAGATGACAAAGGTATACACACCTACAACAACAAACATATACATGCCTACAAACAACAAACATATACACACCTACAAACAACAAAGGTATATACACCTAAAAACAACAAATGTATACACACCTAAAAACAACAAATGTATACAAACACTTATAATCAACAACAAATGTATACAAACACTTATAAACAACAAATGTATACCAACACTTATAAACAACAAATGTATACAAACACTTATAATAAACAACAAATGTATACAAACACTTATAATAAACAACAAATGTATACAAACACTTATAATAAACAACAAATGTATACAAACACTTATAAACAACAAATGTATACAAACACGTATCAACAACAAATGTATACAAACACTTATAATAAACAACAAATGTATACAAACACTTATAATAAACAAATGTATACCAACACTTATAAACAACAAATGTATACCAACACTTATAATAAACAACAAATGTATACAAACACTTATAATAAACAACAAATGTATACAAACACTTATAATAAACAACAAATGTATACAAACACTTATAATAAACAACAAATGTATACAAACACTTATAATAAACAACAAATGTATACAAACACTTATAATAAACAACAAATGTATACAAACACTTATAATAAACAACAAATGTATACAAACACTTATAATAAACAACAAATGTATACAAACACTTATAATAAACAACAAATGTATACAAACACTTATAATAAACAACAAATGTATACAAACACTTATAATAAACAACAAATGTATACAAACACTTATAATAAACAACAAATGTATACAAACACTTATAATAAACAACAAATGTATACAAACACTTATAATAAACAACAAATGTATACAAACACTTATAATAAACAACAAATGTATACAAACACTTATAATAAACAACAAATGTATACAAACACTTATAATAAACAACAAATGTATACAAACACTTATAATAAACAACAAATGTATACAAACACTTATAATAAACAACAAATGTATACAAACACTTATAATAAACAACAAATGTATACCAACACTTATAATAAACAACAAATGTATACAAACACTTATAATAAACAACAAATGTATACAAACACTTATAATAAACAACAAATGTATACAAACACTTATTATAAACAACAAATGTATACAAACACTTATAAACAACAAATGTATACAAACCTACAAGCGTATACAACTGTGTTAACAAATACAAAGTTTCTTCAGTCTGAGAGAGATAATATTATTTTATTTCAGTTTCTAGGTAAAGAAAAATATTGGAATTAAAAAACTGTACTAAATTCCATTGATACTGGTATTTACAGTAATACTGCACAACCATAAATATAAACAATCAGCCAAAGATTCTTTAGGACTAGATAAGTTTGAGACTATTCAGTAGGAAAAATCTCTAGTTTAATGCCTGTGAAATTTCACATTGTGTACCTGAGGAAATTGAACAATTGATTGTATTCGATGATTTAACAGTGATATCAACATTTCCTAGGTCCAGTGTATAGATGTTGCCGTGTGGAATCTGTGGTTTCTGTCAACCATGACACAAAGCTACTGTGTGTCAGTTTCCCTCATGGCACCTGTATGTGTGTACCTGTGGGTTACCATGTACATATACGTCACAAGGTAGAGGGTAAGTATACACCTGTATGTGTGTACCTGTGGGTTACCATGTACATATACATCACAAGGTAGAGGGTAAGTATACACCTGGATGTGTGTACCTGTGGGTTACCATGTACATATACGTCACTAGGTAGAGGGTAAGTATGCACCTGTATGTGTGTACCTGTGGGTTACCATGTACATATACGTCAACAGATAGAGGGTAAGTATATACCTGTATGTGTGTACCTGTGGGTTACCATGTACATATATGTCACAAGGTAGAGGGTAAGTATACACCTGTATGTGTGTACCTGTGGGTTACCATGTACATATACGTCACTAGGTAGAGGGTAAGTATACACCTGTATGTGTGTATCTGTGGGTTACCATGTACATATACGTCACTAGGTAGAGGGTAAGTATACACCTGTATGTGTGTATTTGTGGGTTACCATGTACATATGCGTCACAAGGTAGAGGGTAAGTATACACCTGTATGTGTGTACCTGTGGGTTACCATTTGGTCAAGATACAATGTATGATAAAATGTACAATATTTACAGCTTTATCTATTTATAAATCGATTGTGTATGATTGCATCTGATTAAGTTGAAAGTAGACCCGTTTTGAGAGATGAAAATATTTTTGCTGATTTATTTATCTAATTGTTTTACCGTCAGATGTGGAGGTAGTTCGCAGTTACACACTTGTCCAACCCTCACTGGGATCAAAAACCACTGACCAACGGTTATCACAGGGCAAAGTATTTTACTTGATGATCAAGATTTACAAAAATGGGGCCCTAACTCCGTGGATAGACTCGTTAACACCAGGTAAGATATCCAACAGATTTCCAATGTTTCCTATTAGCTGGCGTAGAAAAATTCATTTAATTTCAGTAATGATCATTGATGTAATTTTATAATATCTCATTGTCTTACTGACCTGTGATGTTGTGATCTGTCTTAGGTGACTCTATGGAAGTCAGCCAGTACGAAGGAAACTTAAGTGAAAGTCGTCTAGCAGGGCAAGGCGACTTGGTTATGTATGCCGCAGGGACAGGCTTCACCCCCATGGTGGGCCTCATCAACCACTGTTTATCACAAACAAAACCTGCCAGTCGGTAAGTTCACTTCACCTCTATGGTGGGCCTCAACAACCACTGTTTATCACAAACAAAACTTGTCAGTAGGTAACTTCACTTCACCCCCATGGTGGGCCTCATCAACCACTGTTTATCACAAACAAAACTTGTCAGTAGGTAAATTCACTTCGGCCCATGGTGGGCCTCATCAACCAACTTTCATCACAAGCACACCCCAGCAGAACATAAGTTCACTCCACTCACTGACTAGTAGTGGGTCTGAACAACCACTGTTTATAATGGTCGCAACCATCACTTGATTAGGTCACTTCATAGTCAGCCTCATCAACCACTGTTTATAACTGTCAACCCCACCAGTCGTTAAGATCACTTTGTCCCTTTAGTAAGGCCCCAAGTCTCTATATCTCACTTTGTCCCTTTAGTAAGGGACTCAGTCTATATCACTTTGTCCCCTTAGTAAGGCACTCAGTCTCTATATCTCACTTTGTCCCCTTAGTAAGGCACTCAGTCCTCTATATCTCACTTTGTCCCTTTAGTAAGGCCCTCAGTCTCTATATCTCACTTTGTCCCTTTAGTAAGGCCCTCAGTCTCTATATCTCACTTTGTCCCTTTAGTAAGGGCCTCAGTCTATATCACTTTGTCCCCTTAGTAAGGCCCTCAGTCCTCTATATTAGTAAGGCCCTCAGTAGTAAGGCCCTCAGTCTCTATATCTCACTTTGTCCCCTTAGTAAGGCCATCAGTCTTAGTAAGGCCCTCAGTCTCTATCACTTTGTCCCCTTAGTAAGGCCATCAGTCTCTATCACTTTGTCCCCTTAGTAAGGGCCTCAATCTCTATCACTTTGTCCCCTTAGTAAGGCCCTCAGTCTCTATATCTCACTTTGTCCCCTTAGTAAGGCCCTCAGTCTCTATCACTTTGTCCCCTTAGTAAGGCCCTCAGTCTCTATATCTCACTTTGTCCTCTAAGTAAGGCCCTCAGTCTCTATATCTCACTTTGTCCCCTTAGTAAGGCCCTCAGTCTCTATATTTCACTTTGTCCCCTTAGTAAGGCCCTCAGTTCTCTATATCTCACTTTGTCCCCTTAGTAAGGCCCTCAGTTCTCTATATCTCACTTTGTCCCCTTAGTAAGGCCCTCAGTCCTCTATATTTCACTTTGTCCCCTTAGTAAGGCCCCCAGTCCTCTATATCTCACTTTGTCCCCTTAGTAAGGCCCTCAGTCCTCTATATTCCACTTTGTCCCCTTAGTAAGGCCCTCAGTCTCTATATCTCATTTTGTTCCATTAGTAAGGCCCTCAGTTCTCTATATTTCACTTTGTCCCCTTAGTAAGGCCCTCAGTTCTCTATATCTCATTTTGTCCCCTTAGTAAGGCCCTCAGTCTCTATATCTCATTTTGTTCCCTTAGTAAGGCCCTCAGTTCTCTATATTTCACTTTGTCCCCTTAGTAAGGCCCCCAGTCCTCTATATCTCACTTTGTCCCCTTAGTAAGGCCCTCAGTCTCTATATCTCACTTTGTCCCCTTAGTAAGGCCATCAGTCTCTATCACTTTGTCCCCTTAGTAAGGCCATCAGTCTCTATATCTCACTTTGTCCCCTTAGTAAGGCCATCAGTCTCTATA